ATGTGCAAACTTACATCAAAAATGGTGGTCTTGTCAACTCATAAGGCTTTACTTATTTGCCCTTAACCATTCTAAAACTGCACAGCTTTCCCGCAGAAGGAAGGAAGAACTGCGTATCATTCATTTACTGAGTACCTTTTAGCCAAAATCACTGGAAGTTTTTTTCTCAATGATTTTCACAAACATTAAAACGTACTTGGAAAAGTTACCTTGTATAATAATTTAATGGCCCTGAGAATCCCACATCTTTCCTTCCGAAAAGGAATGGAGCTGTTCTGAACCTCATAATTCCCAATTCTGGTCTAAAGATGAAGTTCATTACCACTTAAAGGTCCAAGAAAACTAACTTTCCATCTCTTCAAAACCCCAATTGGATATATCAACCAGAGTGAACAAGGCCATGTTGGGATGCACCTAAATCTAATTGAAAAACAAGATTTCTCAGGATCCAATCAATGGGTAACTTAGAGGTGGAAGGTTATCTAAAGATGAATTTATTGAAATGTTGAAGTTCTGTCTTTTGCTTTCTGGATAAGATTTTATGTTACTTTTCTAAAAAAAAAAGATAGGGGCAATTTTTTTTGTTAGTGGGTCTGCATAGCAAGTAGTCCTATATTTTAAGCTTGAGCATTTTCAGTTTGTCAGAACTGATCTAAGGCTTCCACTGGATGTGACTTATGCTATGAATGGTATGTGCCATTAAGCAGAAATTAAGAATATGGCATCAAAAAGAATATCCTTCAAGAATTATACTAATAGTTGGCCTCCAGGAGTAACTGGGAAAGGAAGTGAAATGGGGCAGGAAGCATTTTTGCAATAATAAACTGCTTGCCTGATTCGGCTTTGTTCAATTGCCTGCCATATTCAGCTGTGCTAGACTAATATATATTTTCCACTTCATGAATCCAGGATCACTTCTATTTACCCTGTTACTGGACGTGGCATAGAGCTTTTTGAAAACGGGAATGTAATTAAAAAAAAAAAAGGACTACTAGCTAAGATTCTTTCTGCTGGAAATGCCAAGGACTGAACTGGGGACCTTTGGAGTGAGTTACGTTTCTTTCCCCAATATTGGTGGCTATATTACTTTACCAAGAAAGCATGTCTTGACTATACCTCTGTCTTTAAGCAGCTCGAGAAAACTTTTCTGAAGCTCTGAAGTTTAAGTAATAGAACACCAAATCTTTAATTTTTTGCTCTTCTCTAGCCCTCTCTGCTTGCAAATCAGCTAAATTTATCAGCACTGGGCCTTTAGCTATTTGATTAAAAATCTCAAAATAGACTTTTAGTTCCTCATTATGGTAAACTTTCATATTCTTAGGAAAAGCCTAAAAAGAAGAATATCAGACTATTTCTGGTGTCAGACTTCATACATTTTTCCTGAGAAACGAGATGCAAGGCAGGAGCACAAGGTGAAAAACACATTAATGGTACTTCTTCAACAGTGAATTAAAATTCTTTGTACTAGACTTTGAGCCAGCAGAAAGAACACCGGCTTAACATGTGACGGCTCCACCAGCAATCCTTATCCTGCCAAAGGCACATTGTCAATTATCCAGAACATGTTAAAGATAAGGTTCTGAATATCCCCTCTCAGCTTTGCTTCACTCTTACAAATTCACCTTTTCCTTGGCTTGGGATAGAATTGGGAGAGGCGGCATGATTTACTAGGTGGCTAGTCCTCCCTGTCAGCTGAAAGGTTTCTTTTGGATGCAGACTTAGCATTATTTCAGAAAAATGTATGGCTCTTCCCACTTTCCTGACAGACCTGGGCTTTTATGCCCCTGAGCCACATCTGGCACCTTGGCTGTCTCTGTCTGGCCCGCATGGATTGCTTTTATTTTGAAGGCGACTTTTTTTCCCCCAACTTATATATGGGTATATGTCAAGGCCCGTGGGAGGGATGCTTAGATCTGGCCCACGGGACCACCCTAGAAATAACTAAGGATCGGCCAGCAGTGCCTCTGCCAGTGAAAATGGAGCTCCCTGTTAGAGCACTGTAAGAGGCCCCTGTTGGCGAATCTGACACAAGTGATGTTGAGCTGGTCACATTCCCCCCCGGCCCTCCAAGATCAAACACAACCCTGATGCGGCTCTCAATGAAATCGAGTTTGACACCTCTGGTATATGTACATCTTCACGGCTCTGTTGGTTCAGCCCTCCATAAGAGTCCCAGTTTCCCATGTGACCTCTTGGGAAAATTAATTGCCCAGCCCTGTTCTAGGGGACCTGACTGATTCACTAGCAGAATGTAGGTAAAGCACAACAGACTGTATCTATGTGAAAAGACAACTGAAGGCAAGCTTTACATGTGGCTTCAGGATTGGATGATGGCAAAGCTGCTACAGACTATTTTAGCTTTGCTGGCTGAGGAATTCTGGGAGTTGAAGTCCACAAGTCTTAAAGTTGCCAAGGTTGGACATCCCTGATGTAGTAGGTTCTCATGCTCACTGAATACCACTGCAATCTACCAGAAGTTCAATTCACAGTTCAGAAATTATATTTAGGATCACTCAATTCAAGTAAATTAGCATGTTGATCAGTCTACAGTACTCAGTACTCATACAGTACATGCAGTACTCAGTACTCATACAGTACATACTCATAACTACTGATATGTATAAAGTTTTTTTTCTGAATTAATTTTTATTTTTTGTTGGTTTGGGTCTGCCTCTTTTCTCATTTTTAAAAGCCTTCCTTTTAAGTTTAAATATTGTAGGCATACAATTTTAAGTAAAAGAAAGAAACAAAAAAGGACAAATTTAAATTCCATTTTCTTTTGTCTGCAATAAAATCCTTCTTTAGCTTTTTTCACAGCAAAACCGATTCATTTGGATCCCATAATTAGTAGACACCACTTCTAAAGCTTCTTCAAAATGAATGGCAGAGAAACACTAGAGGGTAGCAAAAGGAATCTGGATGGATACTGAAGTTCAGGTTTCCTACTTAAAAATCTATGTAGCTATTTGTTCACAAAAGACGCTCTGAAAGTGCAAATCTGGTTTACTGGCTATGGCTGGAGGGTAGCTAGAAAAAAACATTTTAAAAAGTTCTGCATGTTAAGACACCCTTATCTCAACAGGAAAAAATAAACCTATAAATCATCTTATAAAAAGGAACAGAAAACTGTATCCATTTAACATAAGGACAAAAAAAAAAATCACCGTTAAGGCTGGCCTTTAGGCAGGGAGCAATAAAAAATGTCACTAAATGGGCATCCTGCTGTGTAACTAGTTGCATTCCACTATCTCAAAATTGAGTTTCTTGGTAATTTTCAGAGAAAGTACGATTCGGTAGGCTGACTTCTCTGTTGCTTTATGAAAATGTATGCAGACTCACCTCTATGTTTTGTGCAAACTGCCTCAAACTGAAGAAGGGATGTTCTGGAAGGTACAATTCAGATTAGAACAAAAACTACTCTCTTCAACCACTCCTTCTCAAGACTTATTGGGCAAAGAAATAAATTTACAATCACCCACAAAACTGCAGTCCTAAAAAACTACGATCCATAGCAAGCACATATTCAACAGAACATTCAGATCCTATCCGTAATTGTTGTATTATGGTTACAAAGACGTTTTGAGCTAGCTTTTTCTGATATATACAAATATTCATACTATAAACATAGGTTTGTGGATTCACTACACTGATCAATTTTGCAGAGAACATCCAACATTTCCAATGTCATCCTCCTGCTTTAAAGTGGTTAAAGGACCTTTTTAGTCACTTTGGCCTGAGCTGCTTCCCCATTATCCCCAACCTAAGTTTGCGCAAGCTATACATTTAATTTTCCTCATTTCCCCTTCACACAAAGTAAATGGAGTAACCTGCTAGGTTATTTTATCCCCACCCAACTCATGTATTTATCCATATGTATCTATGCTTGCCTGCAAAAAGTTTTTCAAAGGCAGAATTTAAAAAATATCTAATTTGAAAAAATAGATAAAAGACAGTTCTGCATGCAGGAGCACATTTTGAATGAAATAGCAATACGCATACAGAAGCAAATGAAAGATCAACTTTCATTTGGGAAAATCCAAGGGAAGAATGAAATGGTTTTTTGTGTCACAAAAACCGCCAGTAGGTGGAGCGTTCTACTGGCAGACTAAAAGAGACATCTGGAAACCTCAGTGAATAATGGAACTAAACACAGATTTTACACCAAGTAAGTTCTTTGGCACGCTCCCATGTATGATAATGCCTCATCTATCCACCAGCCACAGAGAAGTTAACGCAGAAGACAATATACAGGAGGAAAGAACAGATCTACCCGGCTCAAAGACATGAACCTCTTCCCAGAACTAGCTCTGGCATGTTTTCAGTAATTTTCACTCAAAGGGGTGCAGAGAGGCACTGAAAGCAAAAGGGGACAAGACTAATCTAGTAGTTGAATCCTTTTTCAGTGTGAAGGAAGAGACTTGAGATGGGTGTGCTTCATTTGCTATGGGAAGTAGAAACAACAATGAATCTTCTTTGCCGTGGTGTTCTGTTGGTTGGAGAAAAGGACGGGAGCCAAGATGGCAATAGCAATAGCACTTATATATACAGCTTCATGGTGCTTTACAGCCCGCTCTGTGTGGTTTATATAGTAAGCATATTGCTGCCAACAATCTGAGTCCTCATTTTACCAACCTCGGAAGGATGGAAGATTGAGTCAACCCTGAGCCGGTCAGGATCAAACTCCTGCCTGTGGGCAGCGTTAGCCTGCAATGCTGCATTCTAGCCACTGTGCCATCATAGCTTAATGAACGTGAATTGCAACTAACACAACTTTTTCTAACTGATTAGCTAAAGAGTGCAGCAGGTGAAAAAAGCAGTTGGTACTAAGAGACTCCTGCTGGGGTGTGGGGTGTATGCAAAAGTATACAAAGGGAAAAATGTAGGAACCCAAGAGCCACACAGTACCTCTGCAATATAGCTACAGTAAGAGAATGGGCTCAGATTCACAACTGGGATCAAACCTTCTGCTTTTAACACTGGCAAGGAAGGAGAGGACATACCATCATAGTAGACTATGGCGCCCACGAGTTTGTCCTTCCGCAACATAGGAAAGAGTTCCAAAGCTCTGGATTTGCTAAGCACATAGCTGCTTTTCAGACATTGGCTTCCTGCTACTAGGTCATACAGCTTAATTCCCACCCAGTAATAAGGCAGTTGCCACCACCTAAAAAAAAAAAGATGACAAATAAACACGTAAGCATGTAAAACAAATCCCCCCCCCCTTTTTTTTTGCAATGGGCATTCTTTTAAAACAAATCCAAAACTTCAAACAGAATTTAGAAGTCAGAATAGATCTGGATATGTGTGGGAAAGCTGTTCTAAAGCTGTTCTAAAGAAAAGAACATCTTTAGCTGTCCTAAAGAAAAACAGGGTTTTTCTGTAAGCCAATGTTCCAGTTAAAAGAGGCCACCCAAGAACAAGTGAGAGATAACTATTCCAATTACTATTTTATTCAATTTGATAGATGTTTTTAAAATTCATTTTGTTATTTATTGAAGTTATCCCGAGTTTCTGGGAAGAGAAGCAGATGTTATACAAACACACCCAAATATAGATGCATATTTATTTGCAAGGGCTGAAACTGTAATTTATAAAACAGAAAGGCTCCAAATTTGTTAGCATGCAATCAATTCAGTAAAAAGAAGTGGACACTGGGATCAAGGTTCATATTATCACTTGGCTATGAAGCTTTACTGTGCAGCTGGATTCAAGCATCAAATACTGGGAGTGGGGAAGAAGGACCATTCAGATAACACATCTTCTAATCCCATTTTAACAAAAAATGAGGGATTTATTCCCATAATATCTAAATGAACTGCCTTAACTTAGTGTCTTGGTTTATGTAACATATTAAGATATTGTTTGGATTCCTACAGTACTGAGTCACAAGCTATTCAATTCCATTTTAGCCTAGCCTATCCTTTTACATGAATCCAGCCAGAGAAATGAGCAAACAGATTCATAGGCTTACATGGAAAACTGAGGATTCATTGCAGCTCATATAGTTTTCTGATGTTCTTATTTTTAAATATATTAATGATTGGGGGCAACTATCCAAGCATACAGAGAACGATCAGTACTCAATGAAAAAAAAAACTTTAAATATAAAATCATTTCTTTCCACCAAAATGATATTTATTGCCATGTGAATTACACAGCAGCTTAAAAGTCTACAATTACCTGGCTGGACTATGTATCCAATATCCTATGGTCAGGATATAAAAATAATCATCTTGACACTCAAACCTGTTTTCACTCCCCTACCCACATAGACACAGAGAGAGGTCTTTGTACTAGAACACGAAAATGTTAAACAATATTTGAGATTTCAAACTAACAGATTTGGAGACAGATCTACTGACATCAATGGGTCTTAAAAGTAAACATGGCTAACTGTTTGGAAAATATGTTCAACTTCAAGCTGGCTAATAAATTTTATTCTTGGTTATTATAGCCACCCAGAATTTATCAGCAAGCACCTATGCAAGATTATTGCAGGGAAAATATAGTCACTACTCTACTAGCAAAAGGGGGAAAAATACAGATAACAGGACAACAACGTGTAGCATATAATTCCATTTGCATTATTTAGGAAGCTTGCTTAACAAGCTATGAGGTCCATCAGGTGTTTTGTCAATTCTATTTATGTGAATTTGGAATTAGTAGGAACCTGAGGGTAACTTTCCCTACGTCATCCTCTTCAAAACATAGTAGATTAAAGTAACTTCACTGGACTGTTGAGCCACAGAGTGAGAAAAGTAGTCACTCTCCATTTTACTTTGACAAGGCGTATTTAAACAATTACTACATCACACGGGCTAGTCTTTAACATTCTTCAGCTATGGAATTCCTTTAAATGCCTTAAACTTCACAAGCACTTAAAAGAGATTTCATCCCTTAAAGCTGCTGAACTTTCATATTGGACCTGGCCTGGCCAATTTTCGGAATAAAGTGTTGGATAACATAAAGCCAGCTGCAGCTCTTAAGGCAATAGAAATTGTGCATGCTTGGGCAAAAAAGAGCAATGACTGATGATTTGCATACTAATGTTTCTAAAGTTTAGTTAACAGGTTTCTAACAATAGTACATAAACAAGCAGCCGATAGGCATTTGAAGCTTCTTACATAATAAGAAGTCTTATTTAAATGACTTGGATGATGTTTCAAAATTCCCTTTCTTGCAAGGCATCTGAACCGATGGAGACCAAAGCAAACTTGAATACTTTTACTCTGAGATATGGCAAGTACAATGTGCCAGAATTATACTTGCAAGATATGTTCTGGAAGTGCTGTAGCATCACCATGTTTTTCCTGGATAACATAACACCACATTATCCAAGCAGGATATGTTTATTTAGGTTTTATGACTTCTCTCTCCAATCCTTGATGTTTCTCCATGTTTAGTGTATTCTTTGTGAGTCATTGTGCTGGGATGTGTGAAACTAAGTCTCAAAACGTCATTCACTTTAGAAAGTCACGTAGAAACCCAGGGTAAGACATCATCTCAGACTAAGATCTTTCCCCCAGAACCACTTTAAAGCTCAACATTCAAATAGATAAGTTACCACACACTTAAATATTCTCTTCCAGTAACATCCCCTCAGATGCATCCTTCTGTAAATTCTAAACAGCATATATTTCTGCATTTACTTATAATTTTATGTTTTACTGAATTTTTTTTTTGATTGTCCAGAATAATTGAGAATCAGGCATAATTCAAATTTAATAAATTATTATTATTATTCAGGAACATTAATTGAATACTTTTTTTCACATCTCATTGACTAATTTAAGGTAAAGCATTGGTCTGTAACTCTAAACAGAGTAAGAAAGCTACTTATGTATTTTTCTTTCTCAAGGCATTTGAGAAGTCAAAAAAATTAACAGCATGCCTACATTTGCATCTTATTTTCTCCCTTTTTATTCTACAGAGATGCAGACATGATTCCAACATTTAGAAAGTAGATATCATTATAAATAAATAAATGCACATAAACACTGATGAACATACAAACGTGTAAGTTTCAGTTCTGAGATGGCTAATCAAGATTTAATTCAAGCATAGTTATAGTATAGCAACATCAAAGGTTCCTGCCACTGTAATCAATCTGTCAGTGAAATGTCAACAGGATTCTTTGTGCATTTGCCATACCAGATTAAAACAAATGAAATCAATGGTTCAAAAGATTTCACATTACACTTCTATAAAATAATGGCAATGTTTTGCTCTTGTAAAGTAAAAAAAAATTAGGCTTGACACTAGCAAAAGCAAAACAAAACAAAAATAAAAAATAACCCATAGGAAAAAAAGCACTATAACTGTGATACAGATTAAAACGTAAGAATAACCTGCCAAGCAAATAAAACGGGATAAATTTTGAATAACTTACTTGTAAACTGGAAGCATTATAGGCAGAGGAGCAGATAAATGAGGAGCAATTTCAAGCAAGTTGGCACGTTCATGGAGGGCTTCTTTCACCATTCTATACTAAAAAAAAATAAAAAGAAAAAAAGAAATAATAAAGAGTTTGCTGAACTGATTCTAATGATACTGCCAACCAATATCTGCTGCTATTTTGTGGACTCCCTGAAGTATTAAAAGAAACCTTAGAAAGTATGATTGTAATAAAAATTTGTAGAGGTCATTCTCTGACCAAAAAATATAACTATATAAATGAGTCAGTTGCCAAGTGAAATTTGAAATTTGATCATGTGACCATGGGGATGGTAAGTGTGAAAAATGGTCATGTCACTTTTTTCAGTGCCATTGTACCTTTGAACAGTGTTGTAAGTGTTGTAAGTCAAGGACTTCCTATACTAGTTCTAGTTTTATGGAGATGAATTACAGCAGTCTATGCAGTTTTTAAATTAATATGTACCAATTATTGTTTTAAAAATAGACAATTCAGTATTTATTTCATATTCTTATAGCTCTACTTTATAACATAAAAATGTTATTAATTAAAAAACGTTTAATTAATAACAGAATATCTGGAATTAATCAACTAAATTCAAGGAAATTTGAATTTTGCTGTTTGCCCATCCAGAAAGTGTTCTGTTAAAATAAATACTGATTCAAATTCAAAATATCAGTCGGGAACTCAAAACTGTGTAGAGTTCAAAACTTCTGAAAGAGTAAAAACTACAATTACCACAGCATTTTTACACCCCACACTAGTATTTAATTACATCCATTTTCTAAGGATATACTATTTTCCCAGCATTACACACACGTCAAATTTGTTTTTGAGTAAAATATAAGATTTTACATGACCAACAGCTAGCAGAAGATATCTGAGGAATGTAAAACGAGAACCCTGAAGCAAGGACAAAATTCCTATGTACGGTTATGGGAGGAGGCACAACTAAGTTGGAAACACCATGTGTGAAAAAGATCTGGTAATTACAAATGAATTTGAGACACCACCGTGATATGGCTATAAAAGGGGCAAATTAAATTGTTGGTTCTTTCAGAGGAAATATAATGACTGCATTAAGGGAAATAAACTGGTCAAACCTCAACTTCCATATGTGATTAAGATCAAAATATGGTATAATGAAATAGAAGGACTTAGAATCAAGATAAGGAGATAATTATTTCTACCAAAAATGATCTGCCTGCAGAATTTAGTCGTAATATGTAGAAATGCACTATGAAACAGTTAGTTCAGTGTATAAGTGAGAAGAGGGAAACTAAGGTTCACTATAAATCAGGCATTAAGAACCCAAATTATTCATTTTTGAAGGAAGGCATTTAACATTGTCAAAAGATCAGGAAACCTTTATGAGATAGACATACAAATGAAGAGATCTTGTCAGATTTGATAATCTTCCATACATTGGAGCATTTTTACATTTTTGGGCAGTTGCCCTATCACACTTATAAAATGGTACCGCTACTTGAAAAGGATACAAATACTTCCACAGATAATATAAATTGTCTTAAAACATATGGAAAGTCCTTCTTTTGTTTACAAAACAATAAAATCGTAGCATAACATGCTTTAGGATTTTTTTCCCTACTAGTGAGAATTTGAACCCAAATTTAATAAATAAAATAAAGTGCTATCAAAGGGTCAGTTTATTAAAATGTGTACTTTGCATTTCAGTTGCTTGACCAAATACTAACATAAAAAGGGCGTTGGTACTTACCTGATACGCCCGTTCTGTGAGCTGTGAAGAGCATCCAGTGATGGGAAGGTGCTTCAGTCTCTTCTAGGAAGTCTGGGCTTAAACTTGAGGACACTCTCCTCCTCCTCCACGAGACTCCTCCTTAGCGTCCCCAGTTTTGTGAAGCCGAGGTACTGATACCCTATATGCTTAAGCCTATGTAATAACCCTGGCCGGAACAGACCCCCTACCAGACAGAATAAAAGGGAGGGGCTGGATGCTCTGCACAGCTCACATTGAACGGGCGTATCAGGTAAGTACCAACGCCCTCTCTCCTATGGGCTGTTCAGAGCATCCAGTGATGGGACATACCAAAGCTTGGCACTGTCCTAAGGAGGGACTCCGTCTGGGTTGCAGACCTAACTGTCTCTGAAATAACTTGCTGCAAAACTCGCCTACCAAATGAAGCCTCAGCAGAAGCAAATACGTCAATTTTATAATTTCTAATAAATGGAGATGGAGAAGCCCAGGTTGCAGCTCGGCAAATCTCCTCTATTGTAGCTTGGGTCGTCCATGCTGCTGTGGTGGCTGCACTCCTGGTGGAGTAAGCGGTAATGCCTTGGGGCACTGGAATTGAGTGAGAGTCGTACGACTTAGCAATGGTGGCCCTTAGCCATCTCCCTATGGTAGAGGGTGAAACCTTGCACCCCAGGGTGTTAGGCTGAAAGGACACAAAGAGGGCTTCTGTCTTTCTGGAGGGCACCGTGAGCTCTAAGTAGATGCGTAAGGCTCTTCTTACATCCAAGCGGTGCCATTGGTGTTCGAGCCTGTGTGATGGACGTGAGCAAAAATTTGGGAGCACCAGCTCTTGAACTCTATGGAATGCCAAATTAACTTTTGGAATGAAGGAGGGATCTGGTCTGAGAACCACTCTATCCAAATGGAAAATGCAGAGATCTTTGCGCACCGACAATGCAACTAGTTTGGAGATTCTTCGGGCAGATGTAATTGCAGTCAGGAAAACTACTTTGTAGGTTAGAAATTGAAGCGTTGTGGTCCATAGTGGCTCGAAGGGACTTGTAGTAACAGCCAATAGTGCATTATTTAAGTCCCAAGTTGGATATCGGTGCACTACGGGGAGCCTCAGGTTCTTGGCACTGCACAGAAAACTGCAAATGCGAGGGTGGTGGGATATAGAGGTAAGATCATCCCAAGAAATGACCGAATCCAGGACTGCCACCTGTCTCCACAGAGTTTTGGGTGATAACCCTTTGTTTAGGCCCTCCTCTAAAAATTCTAATAACTGCGCTACTGATGGGGAAGTGGGGTCGATCTGAACGCTCTGACACCAATGGCAGAAGCTAGGCCAGGTGGCATCATAGATTCGTTTTGTCAAAGGACGTTGAACCGACTGAATAGTGTGAATAACTTGAGTAGAAAGGTGTTCATCTCTCAGACGTCGCCGTTCAACTTCCATACAGCTAAGTTTAGCCATTGGGGGTCTGGGTTTAGCACTGGGCCTCGAGACACGATATGACCGATGATGGGGTCCTCCACGGTGGTACCATCGAGAGGTCCTTCAGGTCCGCGAACCATGCTCGCCTTGGCCAATAAGGAGCCACTAATAGCACATCCGCTTTTTCTTCCAACAAATTCTGAATCAATCCATCCAAAGGCCTTGTGCTGTATGTCATTGGAAGTGGGGGCCCCATCCCACTAGACTGGCGTCTGTTGTAACAATCGACCTGTGTGGATCCTTGAAAGGGCATCCCTTGTTGATTTTGGGTTGTGTCCACCATTGTAGAGACCTGAGAACGGTTGATGGAACTTTTACGCAAGTCCTGGCGTCGTCTCTCCCGGCACGTTGGTATGGCAACAAGAACCATTGCAGGGTTCTTGCATGGAACCAGGCCCAAGGGATAATAGAAATACAAGAAATCATTTTTCTGAGCAATTTAGAAAGGAGACATAGTTGTACTTTCCTAAGAGTTCTGATCTGTTGAGCCAAATCTCTAATGCTTTCTTGTCTGTCGGGGAGAGGAAAACTTTGCCTTCCAGGGTGTCAATGATGGCGCCAAGGTGAATGAGTCTAGTAGAGGGTGTTAAATGACTTTTTGACCAATTGATTGAGAACCCATGTTGTTGTAGGGTTACAAGTGTAGTTCGAGTATTCAAATTTGCTTGATCGATGGAAGATGCCACAATAAAAATGTCATCCAAGTAGCATTGAAGTCGGATGGACGTATCTCTGAGTGATGCTGCCAATGCAGCCAAGACCTTTGTAAAAGTTCTGAGAGCTGAAGCTAGGCCAAACGGGAGAGCAATATATTCGTAATGGACGGTGTTGTAACAGAAATGAAGGAATTGAAATGTGAGGGCCTAATTGGGATATGTAAGTAAGGTTCGGTGAGATCTATGGAGGTCAGGACATTGTTTTTTCTGATGCTGAGTAAGATGGAGTGGAGAGTGGTCATTTTACATTTTCGGTAAACGAAATATTGGTTTAGACATTTTAAGTCCAGGATTGCCCTCCCTCCTCCCCCCTGAACTTTTAGGGACCATGAAGAGGTGCGAATAAAAACCAAGTCCTTTCTGATTAGAAGGGACGGGTTGTATGGCCCGGATCTCTAGTAGATGTGCTATGGCTGTGTCCGTGAGAAACCTTTTTTCTATGTCCCTAGAAATTGGGGACTTCATAAAAAAAATCCCGGGGGTGTGGTGCTGAACTCCAGTGCCAGACCAAATCTTACTGTGTTCCTGACCCATGCGTCAGTGGTAGAGGAGTCCCATTGGTCGGCAAACCTTTTTAGGTGACCACCAATGGGAATCTCATTGTGGTCGTTACTTGGACCTGCGGAAGGGCCTAGATCCTGTTCCTCGAAATTGTCTCCTAGGATGGAGGCCCCTTCTATATCTGTCCCCAGGTTCAATTCTATCTGTCTGTTGTCTGAATCCAGGCTGTCGTTGAAATCTTGGATAGTAGGGTTGGTAGAAGGGACAAAAGGAACCCTTACGAAAGGGCTGTGGTGATCTGGACTCTGATCGACGAAAAAGAGAGGGAAGAATTTTCTTTTTGGTTCTGGTTTCAATTAGGAGGGGTTTAAGCGCACTGCCAAATAGTTTGTTCTCTGAGTTGGGAGCTGAGGCAAGCCGCCAGTTGTGCTTGACGTCTGCCTGCCAATGCCTGAGCCAAAGTAACCTTGTGGCCACAATTTGGGAAGCAATGGCCCTTAGAGGAAAATTTAACTACATTGAAGGTAGCGTCTGCTGAAAACTCTGCAGCGGCGATTAATTTAGCCACATCGAGATGTGCCCTAATGTTTGAGGCTGGAATGGTATCCCTCAGGTGGCAGAGCTATCTGAGAGATGATCTGGTGAAAAAGGAGGCAGCTGTGGCCGCTCTGATGGCCCATCCATCCAAGACATGTGCCCTATGGAGGGCTAGTTCCGCCCTCTTTTCCTCAGGCTTAAGACCCTCTTCAGCTTCACTTGGAATGGCTGAGGAAGATGCAAGCGCAATGATAGGCTCATCTACTTCTGGGGTGTTAGCAATTTAGAGAACTCAGGTGCCAAATTATAGTATTTTTTATCATGTCCTGTGGGAGTGGGATATGAGGCTGCTGCAGCCCATTGTTTTTGCACTAAATTGGAAAACATGTGTGGCACAGGGATAACCTCTGCCTCATTGACTGGTTGAGAGAATATGAGATCCTCTGCTTCCCCTGGAGTATTTAGTGGGGGAGGGGTACCCATATTATCCAGCCGTGCAGTGTTCTTGGCCTTAAACAGCAAGGATTTAAATAATTGTGGGCAGAATAATCCTGTAAACACGGGGAGGACAGGTGAGAAGCCTTTATCTTCAGACATCCCCCCTTCTAGCGGATCCACCTGACAATAACTGGTCAAAGGTGTATACCGACCCCTCCTCCATTTGATCCATTGGATCCCCTTGATCTCCCATATCCTGTGTGTACTGAGGGTCTCTGACAGTGGGCAACGATAGTTCTGCGTGGGGGGGGTACCTGATGAAGATGTGGATCCATGATGCCCAGAGATCGTTCAGAAAGAGATCCACAAACCGAAGCTGAGGGAGTTCGTCCTGCCTGAATAGCCTGTTGGACACCTGCTGATATGCCCTTCTGGATAGCTAGCTCCATCCACACCCTCATGTTGGCAGGCATTTCCTCCGGAAGTTCCTCCATTTGTCTGAGGCTAGCTGCAGTTGGAGTGAATGTTGCCTCTGGGGCCCTTCTTGGGGAGAGAATGTTAGAAAGAGCCTCCTGGGGAGGTTGTGTCAATATGCTGCTCCTTCTGGATAAATCCAGAGGGGCGGTTAGAGGGTTCTGGGCCAGTGAGGTAGAGGGTATGTTGAGTGGTGAAGAGGTAGGCTGTGCAGCTGCTTGTGTACGTTTTTCCACCTGCCTTTTTAATGCCAGATGACATCTGCGTGCATCTTTCTCTGCTGCCTTAAGAGGTGTTTTTCGGCTCCATGGACTTATCTCTATTTTTAGCAGTTAGTCCAGAACTGGAGCTGTAGTTGCTGGCCATGGTAATGCCTTTGATAGATTAGCAATTTAAAGAGGCCATGAAATTAGGTGGCTGGAACATCTAGCGGCCTCCTCCCTTAAGGGGCAGGGGATCCTGGAATAAATAGTTCCCCAATGCCTTTAGCAAATGTTGTCTCCTTGTTCTGTTTTGCTTTGTTATACACACACACACACACACACACACATATAACTGGTTGAGAGAATATGAGATCCTCTGCTTCCCCTGGAGTATTTGGTGGGGGGTGTACTCGTATTTTCCGGCTGTGCAGTGTTCTTGGCCTTAAACAGCAAGTATTTAAATAATTATGGGCGGAATAATCCTGTAAATACGGGGATGTCAGGTGATATATATATATATATATATTCACATACATACATACATACATACATACATACACGGACACCCCCCACACACACACAAACACACACACACGCATATATATATATTAATAACTTAAAGATTTGTAGAATTTAAATCAGTCAATTTTTGAATTAAGTACTTGTAATATCAAATATGGAGACCGTAACACCCCACTCCACACCCGGCACCTATATGAGGGCACAGACGTCTGTAACTGATCATTAGATCAATTTAGCTGGACTTATTGCCTGTGGAATCCAGCAGTCAAGTCCTCTATCATCCAGTCGACTGGTGGTAGCCCCCCCCCCGCCCCCCATTCCCAGATCCCCAGGAAGGGAAACCTTGTTGGGTAACTTGCCTCACAGACAGTAACAATTACTCAACAAATTTAACCATGCGGCTTTTAAAATGGCGGCCGCTTCATGGCAGAATGAAAACTAAAGCAGCTATCACTGCCCGGCCTGCTGAAAGCAAAACTGCTCAGCGGGAAGGCACAGGGGCTAATTCCCTGCCCTGAGGAGTTTTGCAGGGAAAGCCTCGTAATAAAAAGGGGGAAAGGCTGCACTTTTAAATGGAAGCTTCAAACCTCGAAGGGACAGAGCGTTTACTCAGCCGGCTGGGAGATCGGAGAGATAAGTCTCCTTGTTTAGAAATTTAAGGCAGCATGTCTCTGAAATGAGAGGCTTTTAGCCTCAGGGCAGATTGGAAAGATAAGCCTCCCTGTTTATGAGGCTTTAGCCTCAGGAGGCTGGAACGTTAAAAAAAAAAAAATGAACGAAAAGACTTTTGGAGGTTCCCAGGGGTAGTGGGCATAGTTGGTGACAGAAACTATGGTTTTACCTGACCTGAGAAATAAATCAGCTAAATCAGCTAAATCGCCAGTGTTCTGTTCCGACCAGGAAAACAATAACACAACCTGTCTGAAGAAAGGCTGAGCTAAAACTGGGGACGCTAAGGAGGAGTCTCGTGGAGGAGGAGGAGTGTCCTCAAGTTTAAGACCAGCCTTCCTAGAAGGGACTGAAGCACCTTCCCATCACTGGATGCTCTGAACAGCTCATGGGAGAACATTCAATAATTTTAATTGCTTATGCATTTCTTCTATATATACATTTTCTGCCTATATTCTCGAGGTTTAAAACAGTTCAAAACAAATAGTGTGTTAAAAATCATAAGTGTGAGAACCAATTTAATTAGATCAAGCAATATATTGTTTTGCTTTACAGCAGCCATCATAAACAATTACCTGGTCAAAATCCAACTTCATGATGGCCTTCTGTAGATATCTCACTCCACCATGGATCAATTTAGTACTTCTGCTGCTAGTCCCTGATCCGAAATCATCCCGTTCTACAAGAGCTGTGCTGAGGCCTGCATAACCAGAAGACCAAATTAACTTCTTAAATTATACAAGACCCTTCTCTAGGGTACAGACAATCATAGAAAAATAACTGCTCTGAATATTGTATTCAAAGTATATAATGTCATCTTTTTAGCAGTGAAGTGTGGCATTCTTTTCAGGGAAATATTTTGACTTAAGTCATAAATACTGGAGACATGAAAATGATTGAAGAAGGAAATTGAGAGTACATAAAACCTTTCCCCTTCTCATTAATATACAAGGACAATTAAAAAATTTAGATAAGTGATTCTAATGAAATTAAGTTAATGCAGGTCAGAAGAAAAATTCAGGCCTAGACATAGTTATCACATTATTTTCCAACCCTTGGTATACATGAGAACAACAAATTAAACAAAGTAATTAATCATAATCGAACAATTATTATTATTAATGGTCTTTTAAATTTGCATGTGTTTTTTTTAACAGAACAACAATATATGAATCTATATATAATCTATATATCTGTAGAAAAAAATTAAAAAATCAATATTGAGTTATATCTTTAATTAGAGTCACTCAATTCAGAGGAGAGTGCAAGCTTTCAAGTTATTCAGAACTTTTCACCAGGTAGAAAATTATAAAAGTAGAACAGGAGATGGATAGAAGATTAATGGGCTTTGGGGAGGTTGCAACTAATTCATATTTTGTCCTAAATGTAAACTGTAATGTAATACTGATAACATCTCTTCTCTAACTAATGTGTTCAAGTATACAATCACTACCTTGAGACTGACTTTGAACTCCATACCTCATTATTAATTTTCAGACTTTTTTCCCCTGCCCTTTCTATTGTTTTGTAAAATATAATCACGTGGAAAGTAAATGCAGTTAAAATAAACACCTACAGAACACCTGAAATGAAATTTCTTTTAGGAGGAGGAGGGGAAATCACATCTAATACAATCTATGTTCGACTGCTATTTTATGGAGCTGCAGTGGCGCAGTGGTTAGAATGCAGTACTGCAGGCTACTTCTGCTGACTGCTGGCTGCCAGCAGTTCGGCAGTTTGGGTTTCAACAGGCTCAAGGTTGACTCAGCCTTCCATCCAAGGTCAGCAAAATGAGTAGCCGGATTGTTGGGAGCAATATGCTGACCCTGTAAAGAGAGGGCTGTAAAACACTGTGAAGCAGTATATAAGTCTAACTGCTATTGCTAAGTGCTTCTTTCAAAACTGAATAAAGTAACAATGCTAATGTCACAACCACTGTCAATGCACTTTCCATGTGGCAATCACTCATACAAAGCCACTTAAGGAAGAAAACAGGAAGAATGAAAGCAAGTACTGCAAGATTTTAACAGAGGGTGGAAAAGGAGTAACATGATTCTGCAGCTACAAGGAGGAAGTGTAAACTATCAGTCCTCTGCCGCTCTCCTTTAGCTTCCATTACCTTAAAGATTCCACTATACTTTATTACAGTACAAACAGCCTCATTAGCCTCTCTTGGTTGCCCTAAACTTTCATGTCCTTAAAAAAAAAACTAATTATTCCCGGTAACTTTGGAAGATCAGAGCAATTTATTTTTGTCAAACGTGACTGAAGATTAATGGATACAATCAGGAATAATTTGGCACGAACGTATCAAAGACAAAGAAAACAGAATTTGCTAAGTGAAGCATCAAACTTAATATGAGAGCAAATCCCATGAATGAAGAGCAACAATATACAATTCATTAATGCCTATGATTATTTCACATTTCAGAAAACTACTGATACAAATCAACAAATGTACTACAAAAACGATAAATAGAGATTGGCTTCAACTTTGGTTTTCCTATATATATATCTCCATCATCCGCTACATCCAATCCTACCATAAACACTGAAAATATTTATTTGATTATGAAACCAAAATCATATCCCTGCAATAAATACACGGTGAAAGAACAAATACCAAGGAAGTTGCCAAAGAAGATAACCTACATATACTACAGGTACTTCCTCTCTTTCTAAATCTAGCAAAATTTGGCCAGAAATAATGCAACTGAAGTTATGCAAAACAAAATAAGATGTTTGAGTCTCTTTTTTTGAGATACATACACTCCAAATTGTCATACTGGTGGCTAATGCAGATAATCCTTCAGCAGAATTGGGGATTTGAAAAACTTGAAACAAAATAAAAATAAAAACTTAAATAGGAGTTAAGGAAGAAAGAAAACATAACTGAAGCTAGGCCCATTAAATTTATTAACAAAAAACCCGTGTATGTAAAAACGGAATGGATTATAAAACTCGAAATTAAAAATATAAAGGTTAGTACTTTTCCCTCCAAATCATGTCAACACTTTTTATATGGCCAAAACCACACATGTGATTACTAGCTAATTAAAAGTCATTAAAATCCAGAGTTGCCATATAAAGAAAAATAGACTAAAATGTACTGGGACAAATAAAAAATGGTTCAGAATTTTTTTCTTACTTTTTTTTTTACAATAACAGTTTTTAAAAAGGTTTGCACATCACATAAAACTATATTTTGTACAACTATGGTTTACTGAATGTAAGTCGACTGATTTTTCCACAATATACTGAGCAAATTCAATGGCAATACATCTTAGGTAAGTGAAACATGTGATTCCAATGATTTTAAAAAGGTAAATTGTCCGTCATATTCGACAGTCAAAATAAATCTCTGGACCCGGGGTTCTATATATGCCAGTGGTGGCTAACCTATTTCAGCTCCTGTGCCAATAATTGCAGGCATGCTCCTGAGCTCACACTCGTGAGCGAGCACCCAGAAGGCAATGCATGCTGGGGGCCCCAACACCCCCTGCGCATGTGCGCGCAATCCCTCCACTGCGCACTGCACCTCTGTGCATGCATGCATATCGCCCCGCCATGTGCCGTTTGTCTACTCATGCACATGCAATCCCCCTGCGACACATCTGCACATGCGCATGCGATTCCCTCGCTGCGCACTGCGTGCCCGTGCGCTGCATGTCTGTGCCTGCGCGCTGTGTGCCTCTGCGCCTGTGTGATTCCCCGCCATGAGCCATGCATCTCTGCACATGCGCGCGATCCCCCCGCACTCCATCCATCTCCACATGCGTGCACAATTCCCCCACGTCGCGCGTCTCTGCACATGCGTGCATGACCCCCTCGTGCATGCTGCGTCTCTGTACATGCGTGTATGTCTCCCGTGCCCCCACTGCCCCCATGCATGTGCGCCAGATACCCAACAATCAGCGCACGCCCACGTGCAGTGGGGCTCTTTCGGGTGAGCTCTTGCGTGCTGGCAGAGATGGCTCAACGAGTCACTTCGGGCACGGCCATAGGTTCGCCAACACGGATATACGCCATTCATAACATCTGCACTAGCTGACAGATCTTGAGGTTTTAGTAAAGAAGTACCGTATTTATCGGCGTATAACACGCACAGGCGTATAACACGCATTCCCTTTAATATGCGGCGGGCGCAGCGTCACGACGCTGCGCCGCCGCTAGGCACTATTGGGAACGGGACATCGGCGTATAACACGCATACATCATTTGCCCCCTATTTTCAGGGGGAAAAAGTGCGTGTTATACGCCGATAAATACGGTAGATCCCATATTCTAAAGACAATACCCGATTTAATTTTTCTCATTCAAAAATGACTTTCCTCTTCTTTCTCATTTGCTCTTCCAACCCTGCCTAGTTATCCTTACCAATACATTTCAATATAGGAGATCTGTTTGTTTACTATGTCAGCATTACCATTACACATACAACTGGTTCTCAACTTACAACAGTTCATTTAGTGACCATTCAAAGTTACAATGGCACTGAAAAAAAGTCTTATGACCATTTTTCATACTTATGACCGTTGCAGCATCCCCACGGTCATGTGATTTACATTCGGACGCTTGGTTGATTCATATTTATGACGGTTGCAGTGTCCGGGAGTCATGTGATCCCCTTTTATGACCTTCTGACAAGCAAAGTCAATGGGGAAACCAGGCTTACTTAACAATCGTGTTAGTAATTTAAGAACTGCACTGATTCACTTAACGAAGAAAAACTGTAAAATGGGACAAAACTCACTTAACAAATTTCTCACTTAGCAACATAAATTTTGGGCTCAAATATGGTCATAAGTTGAGGATTACCTGTACTGCAAGTTTTGACTAGTTAAGAATTATGGGAATTTTAAGAAGACAATTCACAACTAGGAAGGCAGAAGCTCTTTAGGACTTAAAAGCAAAGTGACTGTGCTGTCCAGCCAGTCTATGGGAATTGGATAGTTACTTAGGAATTATGAGCTGTCCCCTTAAGGGAATGCTTCATGGTAAACGTAGTTAAAGGTATCCTGGGAAATGTAGTCCATGTCACGTGACCACATCTGTAATCCTGATTGGCCACTAAATTGACCCTCGATGGGTTGGGGGAGTTTTCCTCACTTTTGTCTGAACTCCCTAACTCATGGGAGCTGCTTTCTATCGCTATGAGATGGGTTGGGAGATAACCATCTTTTACTACAAGGCAGATATACAAAGGATTGGTCATTATAGAAGAATTTCATCACAAATGTGAGTTATGAGGATACCTGATGAACCAATAAATGTACTTTGTTATGGACGTCTTGTTGAGTTATCTATCTGCATCCGTATAGTTTATAAATCCACCTCTGTGCAGAAGACAGAAAAGTGGCTTAGCAAAGAATAGCCCTAAAATAGGTCATAAAATGAAGCACAAGCTGCCCACACAGCTAAGATGAGATAGATATATTGGACAATGACATTAAAAATTAAAGGAATAGTAGAAAGCCCAGCAAGTCAAAGAGATAATCTCAAATGCTCAAATTATATTCATTTCATCTTTTAAACAAAAGGCACTTTGTTTCAATTCTCCATGCTTAGAAACTATGCTTCTGGAATATCAAAAGGCATGAGCCTCTTAAGTTTTCAGAACTGAGAACTGTGATGTTAGCAACTTATCTGTATCATGATCCAAGACATCGTTTTAAAATGCCTCAGGCCTATCACAGGCATCACATGGATTGAATGACAAAGGAGACGGGGGGGGGGGGGGGAGGAGAGGGAGAACGCTCTTATGGCCTTATGTAATAAAAGAACTGCAGCAATTAAATCCCAACCCTGTTAATCTTTTTTTAAAACACTGTATTACAAATAAAAAGCCCCTAAACCTGTAAATATAATTTAAAAGATTCAGTAAATGATACAAACCAAACTGAAATAAATGTGAAAAAATACAATAAAAATAAAAGTAGAAAAAAAGCGAAAGGAAAAGCAACTAATTTAGCTAGAATGAATCTACTTTTAATGTAAAGGCATATTCCTAACTCTGGGACATATGAATGCCTAGACACAACAAAAGTGACTTCTATAGTGATGGGAATCACTTACCTCTTGTAACAGCGTCTAAGGCACAACCGCTTCCTGTGGCACCGCCCCCTATGATAAGAACATCAAATTCTGAAGTTTCTCTCAGAGCTTGGAAATGATTCTCTCTAGTCGGAAGGGAGTTTAGTATTGGTACAAGTTTGCATTCTGAAGCTTCCACAGTTGCAAGATGACCCTGAAAAAATAAATTGTCAAGAAGGGAGCGAGGGAGGAAATTGGGCGTAATTTAACATTGATTTATAAAGAGCAGCACTATTTTCCCCAAATCCTTGCTTACTAATCATTAATAACAACACAAAAGATTCACGTCAGAATAGTATAGAAATAAAATAATCCCCAAATATTATTACAATATTAAGTACTATTATCATCATCATTATTGAGTATCCCAGTATGCCCATTATTTTTCCTAAAACCACACAAAAGACTTTTTAATGAAAGTGCCTTTAAATACAAATCAATAGAAGTTATAACTCTAGTTATTAACTGAAAAATCACTATGACTAATACCATCACTACAGTATGATATGATGTTTATAGAATTGTTTTGTTATCAAACATAAATCTATATTAAAAAAAACAATACCGTCAGCACTCCATAAAAACACACAATTTTTACAACCATGAGCCCCATTTATTTCACTAATCTGGCAGATAACAAACTAAAAAAGCTATGTGTGCTATTTCTATATTTTTAAGTGAAGGGCATAGCCTTAAAGTAATGGCGATCGTGTTTTCTTTCTACTTTCTCCCCCTTTGATAGAGAAGGGCCCTGAACTCCAAAGAGTTATTTAGTCTAGAAACCCTAGAGCAGTGGTTCCCAAACTTTTTCAGTCCACCGCCCCCTTGGTGCTACAAACTCATCCTCAATGTCCGCCACCCAGGGGCGGGATTCAAATTTCTGTGGGCGTGGCCTAATTTGAGGGTGTGGTTTGCTGGTAACCTGATTGGGTGGGTGTGGCTTGCTGGTCATGTGACTGGTGGCGTGGCTTGCTGGTCATGTGACTGGATGGGCATGGCCAGATGACTGGCAAACCAAATACAAGTGGTCCTCACTTAATGGCCAGTTGTTTAGCAAGTGTTCTAATTTATGACTGGCCTCCCCAGAGCTACTTGGCCTGTTTTTGGAGTTTTGACAGCCATGCACACACATACACACACACACTCCCTTCCAACCCTGCTGGAGCAGGTCATTGGACTAGAATCGGCAAAGCATCTCTGATTAGATTCTAGTAGTGAATAAAATCTAATCAGAGATGCTTTGCCGATTCTTGTTGATTTGTTTTATTTGTATTTCTTTATTTTATGTTGCTGAATTGCATTGACATGTGTGTCCCTTCTTGTGCACAACCCAGAAGCTTTTGTGATTCTTTGCAGCAAAAATTACCGACCTCTGACTTTGCTCTACTTTTCAAACGTGCCGGCACTGCCGCGTTCTAGGTGCCGACCCCACAGGCCCACCCCACTGAGCCCACTGCACTGGAGGGACCTGCCCAAGCAAGTCCGAGCGGAGCGGTGCACCAAATCAATGGGGTGAGCCTGGGAGAGGGAAAGAGAGAGAGAGAAAAGAAAGAGAGAAGAAAGAGAGAAAGAGAAAAGGGAAAGAAAGAAAAAGGGACAAAGAAAGGGGGGCATGGAGGGATGGAGGGGAGAGAGGGCGAGGGGGAGGGAGAGGGGGAGGGGGACACAGAGAGAGAGAGAGAGAGAGAGAGGGAGAGAGAGAGAGAGGTGGAGACCTGATGCATCAGATTGAAATGTGGCCTAGTTTAGAGGCCCTTTTCCACATTGAAACATCTTTGCCAGTATATTTACCAGCACATTGAAACATCTTTGGCTTCTATTAATTAAAGGTTTTGTGGACGAAACATGGCCAAGACTATCAGGAAGCTCTCACATTTTGTTGAGGCTTTAAACAGGATCCATTGGACCAGATCTCCACCCTAAAAAATCACTTTTCCCCAATGTATTACAGTGCCAATTCTGAAGAAGGCAAAACCAAAATGTACTGGTTAATTACAAGGAGAACACACACACACACACACACACACTCCCTTCTAACCCTGCTGGAGCAGGTGATTGGACTAGAATAGATATTATCTTTCTCCTCCCTCCCTCCCTCCCTCCTTCTTCATTTCTTTTTCTTTCTGTCCCTTCCTTCCATCCCCCCTTTGTCCCCTTTTCTTTCTTCCCTTTTCTCTTTCTCTTCTTCCTTCTCTCTTTTTCCTTCTCTCTCTTTCCCTCTCTCAGGCTCACCCCACTGACTTTGTGCACTGCTCCATTCGGACTTGCTTGGGCAGATGCCTCCGGTGCAAGGGGCTCAATGGGGTGAACAAGGCGGCGGGATGTTTGAAAAGGAGAGCAAAGCCACTCTGTTTTTTCTCTCCTTTCCCAACGCTGCGTTCGGGGTGATGCCCCGCCGCCCCGAACACGGCGGTGGAAAGTTTGAAAAGGAGAGCAAAGCCACTGTGGCTTTGCTCTCCTATTCCCAACGCTGCATTTGGGGCAACGCCCCGCCACCCAACACTGCGTTTGGGGTGGAGCTCCTTGCACCAGAGCATGCAAGGCAATGGGATGATCCTGCGGGGCCTTGCCTCGAACGCAGCGGCGAGATTATTTCTCACCCCTGAATTGTGCCCTGCCGCTTCCCTCCAGCCACCTCTTAGCGCCCCCCTGCCAGCACCCTTGCCTCTCAGTGCCCCCCTAAGGCATCCCACTGCCCCCCAGGGGGCGGTACCACCCACTTTGGGAACCACTGCCCTAGATCATGTTTTTTACCTTATCCTTTCATCTTTTATTAAGAATGCTATAATTTAATTTGGAATATATTTTCCACATTCTTCCAAAATGGTGGAAAACAGAAAAACGTATTATGAAAAGGTATTGTACCTTTGCTGACTATTTGCTGATTAAATTTTGCTAACTATTTGCCAAGTCACAGATGTATATGATTTTGAAATAGTCCAATCTGTTTTTTTAATCCTGTATACTGAATATAATATCAAGCATAGAGGTTATTAAAAAATATTGGGAACAGGTGGTAAAACACATTTCTGGAACATTAAAAGATCCAGATTACCAAGCCAACTGATCCTTCTGATACTGTTTTCCTATAATACCATATGAAGAACAACATTCACTTGTAGAAGAAAATAAGTCACAGAACCTTAACTGTAGAAATAATACTTTCTTGGGAGTAAATCTCACTGCATAGAATGGAATTGACTCCCACTGCATTCTACTGAGGAATTAGATCGCTATTATAAAGGAGAGAGGAAATTCCTCAAGTTCTGATACCCCAACTGAAATGGAAAATTCATTCAAAGAAAAATGACTCTTTGATTTTTTTAAAAACACAACTCACAGAATAAACCATAATTAATTTGGTTCATATACCAGAACCAAATTATCCTAAGCATTTGTTGAATATATGAAGCCAGTCCATTTTTGCCTTCTTCTATAGGAGATTCCACTCTAATTGCAGCATCTTTACAATAATAGCACAGCTAAGTGTTAGTACTAAGAAAACCTTTGGAGGGACTATGGACTTATCTTAATTCTTCTGCCAAACTGCATCTCCAAATATATTGCACTGTGGGAAATGCTGATATAGCTGCTATATCTCCTCATGATGAGAGCAAGAAGGACATGACTGGGCCAGACACCTCCTGCTGCACTTTGCTGGCCAAAACAGGGCGCAGAGGGGCCTCATGCAGCCCCCTCCCCCCCGCACCTCGTTTTCGGCCTCCATGGCTTCCTGCAACACTCTGCTGGCCAAAGACTTTTCTGACCAGCAGAGTGCTGCTGGAGGCCAAAAACAGGCCGCAGGGGGTGCATTTGGCCTCCACACAGCCTGTTTTGGCCAGCAGAGGCACTGCAGGACAGTCCTTTCATATTTCCAGGCTGGCCCGATGGGTGAGAGTTAAGCACCCCGCAGGCTGGATGTGGGCCACGGGCCTTGAGTTTGACACTCTTGCCTTAGAGTATGGTATACGACTCACATGCTTTGAAAAGGTTTCAGAAGAGAAACTTCAACATGTATAATATAAGTGCAGCATCTCCTTAAATCAACCACATCTTTTTTCAAGCCTCTGCATGAGACATAGCTGTTTTAAAGACTATGGTGCTTATATACATCAGAACCTATCTTCCAAGTCATTTTTGAAAGATGTGCAACCATATAAGAAGTTTTATTTTTTACCACATCTGCACTATTCTACACTTGTAAGTATATTGACTAAGGAAAACCAGTCAAGTCCAGTGGTTTAAGCACCAGGTTAGAAATCAGGAGATTGTAAATTTTAGATCTGCATTATGCCTAAAAGCCAACTGGTTGACATTAGGCGAGTCACTCTCAGCCTACCAGTCGGTTAGTCAATTCTTGTCGAAACCAATGGATAAAAAAAAGCACGCCCTGAATTTACAGGAAAAATCTAGGAAGAAAAAAGAAATAAAAAGTATAATGACTAAGATCTTGCTGCGATTTTTTTTTTACAAAAAAACAATTGAAATTATTACATATAAAAAACTAACAGCCTACAAAAGAATGAATGAGACTGCATAATAGCAACAATTAGCACTAGCTATTGTGTGAGTGTGCAAACTAATATTAGAGATGTAAAAATATTTTTTTAGTTTTCCGGGTCTTCATATAATTGTATTGCGTTAGGTTCTGAATAAACATTCTGAAAATGTGCTTTTGCTGTCTTAATTAAAACAAGCTTGCTATTTTATAGCTACAAAGATATATCCTGCACAAATTTACAGTTTGTAAAATTCAGTGTTTCATCACGTGCATGATCACAGAACACATTTTATTGCGAGAAGATGTATGCAAAAGTAAAACATGAGTTATATGTATCCAATATATTTCTATAGATTATTAGTCTCTATGATTCACTGTAAATACATATTCTACTTTGAAACTAACTCTGAAAAAAGTAAAATAAATTCTTAACTAGGCAATCACATGCTTATTCAGAAGTCAGCCCAAGAAAGCACAGGCATATATGCTAAGTGGGTCAAGTCCACACCCTCAAACTTCTATTATTGTCTGAGTGTTGTTGCTGTTATAAACACAGCAGTGAAGCAAACACGCAATGTTTACATTACTTTTTTAGATCAATCTCTATGCTGAATTTCAGCATATGAAAGCAATTATGAAGGTCAATATTAAAA